TTCTATTCCATGAATCCCTACAAACCAACACTTGAAAATTCTAACTTCTGCCAATTCATGAAACAGCTGTTCAGAGCTCCCTAGTTGGTGTAAATCTTGGCTTTAATAGTAATATTTATAGCCATAATAATAACGAAAGGAATGTAATATTCATCAGGTAAGATTTAGCTATACATATAAAACTGAATTTTTATTGAGAGGCAGAACAGACAGTCAAAGAGAATTATGGTGACAACGAAATTATTACCATTATTATTATTATTCTTTTTCCTCATTCAGATTGAGTTAGTTATTCTCTGAGTGAGTTTACTCTTCCTTCCTGAGTGAGTGAGTTGCTTCCTGAACCAGCCAGAAATAATATTTTCCCAAATACAGACGCACACATACACACACTCACATCCACATACGTATGAAGTACTCAGATAATAGAGATGAATACAGAACAACTAACTTGTTCTCTTCCTTTGTTGGTGTTGTTGTTCCCTTTTTTTGTGTAGACATCTATTTGTCAGTAGTATTGTAATAGTAGTAGTATGTACAGTAGTGTAAGTTGCCATGACAGGAATAGCAGTAATAATAATAGTACAGGAAGTGATAAAAAGCTTTTATGTGAATAGACAGGCACTATTGTTATATAATCTGTTCTCTGTCAAGATGACTATCTTTTCTAGTTTTGTCTTTTTTTTATTTGCGTTGCATTGCATTGCACTGCATTGTATTAGAATTATTCAAGCGTTGTTAGTGTGTAGCGCGATTTGATTTTGACTTTGATTTTAAGTTAGTTAGTTAGTTAAATCATGCAGTGAAATTTAGTTAGAGAGAGAATCAGAAGGTAGGTACTGACTGGATGGGTGTTTCGTCTTAGTTTCGGACTAATGCTTCAGCACAATACACCATCTATCGCCTGATGTGATAACACTTTCAGGCTGTTAGGCAGACACGTTGGTTTTTCAGTTACGGGGACGGACTTCTGTCAAGCTGCAATACGTGTAGCACAACCACCAGTCAGTTTCTTTGAAGAAACACTGAACCTGGTTGACCCCACACTAGCCACAAATTCCCACTGGAGAACTCCAGGCAACTTCGTCCTGTAGTCAATCAACGGTGTTAGTTTCCAAAGAGTTGATTAGTTCCCGTTTTGATCACGAACTGGCTTCAGTTAGAGAGGCACTGAAAACCAAGGGGTACTGTAATGTGCGTCGGTGGCACAGCGGTAGAATACTCGCTAACGACGCATCACGTGGTCCGGGGTTCGATCCCCGGCCACTGGACGACACACTCCTTTACTTCGCTAAGCCTGTAAGTAATAAGACTGGTAAAGAGGGAAGGTTGGCTAGGCATGAGGCTGGTTAGCAACCCCATCCCGTGAAAATAAACACCACTGCTACCGAAACTTCAAAGCTGTAGCTTGAAGCCCTATGTTCCACTGGGAACGTAAAGGAATAAAGAAATACAGCTGTACTGGAAAGCTGTTTGGTCCTAGTTTGGAACTGACTCTCCAGCATTACACGCCCGTGATCCCACCTTGGATCAAACCTAGAACGTTAAGGTAACCAGGGGGACCTAGTTGAGAATCACCTAAAATTCATGAGTTGACAGAAGTTTGAAATTTATGTGCCAATGGATTTCGTCTTAGTGTGGTTGTGAGAATGGTTGTCAACAGGTTTGCCTCATAATAACCTGAAGGTCTTGGGTTTCAGTAGAGTCCTCGGTGTAGTGAGTGACACAATCCAAAGTACTGGTTTCCAGTGGTTCTCTAACTGAAGTTACTTCATTATCGAACGTATATATTGATGACACCTTTATTTTTTGTGATATTGATTCGGATAGGAACACAATAATAACACGATTCAATGAAGTACATTCTGCTATGAAATTCACATGGGAAGAGGAATCACAAAACAGAATTAATTGCCCTCCTAGATATTCTCCTTACAAGAAAGCTAGATGGTTGCATAAAGAGAAATTTGCATAGGAAAAGTACATGAACAGGACAATATACACATTTTCATAGCATCGTTCCTCTTCAGTATAAAAGAAATTAAGTAAAGACACTCAGCCACAAGGTTAGATCTATATACTCAGAAGATGTAAATGAAAATGAACTAAGTATTGTGTACGATACCTTGATTGATTGAAAATAGCTTCCCAGACAAATTCATCTGGAAACATTTGACTAAGAGAGTTTAAAAATGACTATTCACTATCCGTAAACAAGAAGCCTTTATACATACAGCTATAATTCTAGGGCGATATACCTAGCCAAATAATTACGAAGAAGTTAAAAAATCAGTTCATTCAAAGAACTTTTAATTCTGGAAAACTACAGGTCTTGTTTTCTACACAATCAGTGGTGATGCCCCAATTGAAAGATGGAGTACCTAGGCTAGCAAGCCACTTCTAATTATATCTACCAATTCAACTGCGCTTGTAGTGGAGCGAGTTACATTGGCTGTTGCTCTAGGAACTTGATTTTTTTCGCTCTCTCGGGACACACCTACCAGTGTGGTGTGCCTAATTGAAGGTGTAGCGAAAACTATCATCAACAGGTCGATATTAGACTACCTGGTGCAAAGCGACAGGCCACAAAACAGGCTAGCACTGAAGAATCCTTCTCCATCCTCAATCGGGTACCAAACAATTTGCCAAAAACATCCAGGTACCGAATACTCCAGACAGTTGAAGCTATTATGATTCTCATGAAACAGCTGGTTCTCTGTGTGCAGAAGAAACAGCTCCAACCAGCCAGCCAGCCAGCGACTATTACTGCCCTGACCGGCCTTCAGTGGGGACTATAAATTCATGAGTCCTGTATTATTATTTTTCCTAATATCCCTATCAATGTGTAGTGTTATGTTGATGCAATCGAACTTTATTATTATTATTCCCTTGCGTTCCGAGTGGAACATAGGGCTGGCTTCAACAACACATCTCCACTTTGTTCTGTTTTCTGCTGTCCTCATCTTCAGCTGGGTCCACGATTGACCAAACCCTCTCATCTCTTCCTCACACGATCTCTTCCATGTCACTCTGACTCTGACAACCTACTCGTTGCTTCCCATTTGAATTCCACTCTAGGGTCTGGTGAACTTTAATCCATTGATATTATTATTGTTATTGATTCGATGTTATTTAAACAACATTAATGTTTAAAACAATTAGTTCCCTTAATGAATTTAGATAAAGCAATAAGAAGACGTAATTTGTCTGAATCGTGTAATGTATTTGCGCAACACATTTCGAACAATCTGATCACACACGGACTTGTCATAGGAATATTCATGAAATTGATAAAGAGTTAACAGGGGAGAAGTTAAAAGGACATATTGAAGGGCAAAATAACAATGAAGACCACTAAACCGAATAACAGAGGTAATAGTACATCTACCCTGGCTGGTATCAAAACAAAATTTACGAAGGAAGGTTTAATGTGATGACGAATTGCTGCTTTGAACGCATAAAGGTGGTTTAAACTTTCTAATTGCCAGCTAGGGATTCCACAAACTTTAGAATACGCCCCAAACACGTTTTCTATATAGGTTTGAAAGATCTGTTAACGTCAATTTTATGTCCTGTCTCCTCTGTAATATGTTTCGCAATAGAAGAGCTAGGTCGTCGTCTGTTCTCACCATTGTTTAATGGGTTCTGAAGATTCCATTTGTTTCTGGAGCCATTTAGGAATATGCTCTGAAGCCCTTAATGTTATTATTATTGTATCCTTTAATTCCTAGAGAAACATAGGGCTTCAGCCGTGCGTCTCCATTGCGTTCGGTTCTCTGCTAGAGTCTTCACCTGGCTCCATGTCTGCCCACACGTTTTCATCTCCTCTTCACATGATCTCCTCCAAGTCACCCTTGCACTGACGACCAACTCGCCGCTTCCCTTTCGGGTTCCACTCGAGCACTGGCTTGTCTAGTGATGTCACTTGGTGGTTTCCTCAGAGTATGGCCAATCCATCTCCATTTTTCCTGCCTATTTGTTTCACAATTGGTTCCTACTTGGTTCGCTCCCAGAGATCCCTCCATGTTGCTGATCTTTTCTGGCCGGCCATCTGATCTTGAGTATTGAGTGAAGACAACTGTTAATGAAGGTCTGTAGTTTGTTTGAGATGCTCTTTATGACTCGCAGTGCAAGTCTCTGATCCGTATAGTAGCACTGACTGACTTCACATTGGAGTTGAAAATCCGGATCTTATTTTTGATGCTGAGTGTTGTTGACTTGAGAGTGGTGAAAGCTTGTCTTGATTTCCCGATCCTTGCTTTGATATCCTCATCAGTTCCGTTCGCCTGTAGTTGAAACGATGCTTCCAGGTTGGTAGGTAAGAGAGGTTGTTTCTTTCAGGTTCCTTCCATTTATGCTGATTGTTGTCTGTTGTTGTTGTTCTTGTCCAGGAATTTTCATTACCTCTGTTTTCTATATGTTCACCTGAAGTCCTATCTTTGATGCTTCTTCCATCGCCAACTTGTTGCTTTTCGCTTGCATATCTTCCAGTTTGTGGGAAATCAGACATACATCATCGGCGAAGTCCAGATCCTCCAAGTTTTTTTGTGTGAGTCCATTTTATGCCAGCTTCCTCATTGCCTGCTGTTTGTCGCATTATCCAATCTACTGCAATGAGGAAAATCATTGGCGATAGTAGGCAGCCAGCTTGTCTTACTGTCCTGTTCTCACTTCGAAGGATTCCATAAGTTTCCCGTTGTGGATTACTTGGCATGCAGCACTGTCGTACAGCTGTTGGATGAGATGTATAATTGTCGGTGGCACACTAATTCATTCACTGTTATGTAGAGACATAACTGTAGAACCTGATGATGATGAAGAGCTGACTATCACAAAGAATATTCTTTGTTCAATAGTAATCAGTTTTTTGAAGAAAATTTATTTTAAATGGGTATTTTTAATCAATTAGAATCCATTTTTGTTACTTGATTGATTGATGAATAACACTCATTTTTCTAATTTTTTTTAAAAAAAAAATCCGTTTTTCTCTTTTCTTTTAGACCTCCATTTCAAGCTTCTGAACCAATTAAAATCTATATGAAAACTTTAAAGGGTATTGATGCTTTAGGCTTAGCACAGAATAAATATATCAGTTTAAAAGCATTACAATTTATTCGACGATTATGTCGATTTAATCCCTCTGAAAGACTTGGTGTCGGTAAATATGGCATACAAGAGATACGTAGTCATAAGTAAGTTTATTCCACTTTGTTATTATTATTATTGTTATTATTATTAAAATTGTTATTTGTTTAATTGGTGGATGGTGACTGACTAGCAGTGGAATCCAGTTACGCGCATTTCGTCCTATTTGGGGACTCGTCATCTGGATGTTATTTATGTTTAACTTTATGCTGAGGTGTTTGACTCGTTATATATAAATTCACTTCAATCTAGATAGTTGTTTTTTATGAGAATGGATAAATAAAAACTACAGTCCTACAGGAGGTCAATCGCTAAACCGAATGGCTCAGTGGTAACAATGCCGCCGACTGCAGCAATTAGCAACTTGGCTTCACATCATAGGAGAGACATGAGTTCCGTCAATATTGCAGATATACACCTTGCTGTGATGAGTGGCTACAAGCATGAAACCTAAGCCCAAGGCTTGCTGCCGATAGCTTCCAGCCATCTAATGACAGTTTGGAAGCGGACTATCCTTAACATTACGACCAGTCCAACGAGACAGAGGGCTCTCAAGTGGTCGCCCTAGAGGATGATACGGCATGCTGGTCTCGTCTCGTAAGAGGTGGGAACAGATATGTTCAGTTCTCCTGAAAACTAATGCCCAGCCAGTGGGTATATTACTATGTGAATAATCTGTGAAGTGTTTGGTTCTCATACTGAGTTATCAACTGCTAGAACCGACTCCCAGAAGAAGTAGTGTCAGCGCCGTCAGTCGACTCATTCGAGAAGTGTTTGGACAAGCACAAAAATGTACTAGAAATGGATTAACATAGGCTTGATCCCTCCTATCCTCAATGAGCAATTCTTAATCTAAATTATCCATGTACCATGACCACTCTTAATAACTGTTCTACATATTTATCTCTAATGTAGTAAAATATATTAAAATTGTAATGATTAAACTGTCCCCAGTGTGTGTGTGTGATGGTGTTCTCACTAAGACTCTAACTGTCTACCGCCACCTTCTCGAACCCAAAGTCACTTTCCACTAGACCACTCGGGCTTTTGATATAAGAATAGAAATTGTGCGCTGTGGTGGTAGAGTATAATTCCATTGTGGATAAAATTTATTTTGATAAAGTCTCACACAGTGTAGTGTTATACAGTGAGTAATATTTACTGATGACCACGTTTCGAGCATCCCAATTTATTACTGCAGCTCATAATCATATCAGATCAAGGCACTACTTCACACAACTTTCTAACTTCTTTTATATAAACACCACTATTTCTCATCTCTTGATTTGATTGGTTGTAGTATTTTCCATATTTCTGGTGGTATGAGTGGTGAGTCATGCCCATTGCTGCACGTGTTAGGTGTAGATTATTCGATGAACCAGGATTCAGTAATCAACCTCTTCTCTCGCCCTCCACCTACCTACCTATATTACTTTTTAGAATTTCAATTTATTACCAAGACACCTCAGATAGATTGACGACAACATAGACAATCACAGTTGTCATCATTGTTCCTAATCAACAATGGGGTTAGACAGGGTTTATTCACTCTTACCATTTGTCTTTAACTTTACTATGAATAGCATTATGAGGATAACGCTGAAGGATGTATTTGGTGGTAGTAGTAGTGTGGCGCGTGCTATTTACAGGCAGATATAAGTAGTAGTATGTGAAGTAACATCTTGGGAAAAGCCTTTGATAATTTATCTGTCAATGGAAAACCCAATTTAAGGGGAGACTTGAAAAGGTTACAATTCTGATAGGAACTTAATAAGCGGTCGGTCGGTTTTCGACATAGAACTTTGCACATATGTGCGGCAGTTCAAGTCGCCACACTCCATGTAGCACACAAAGGAGAAATGCATATTAGAGACAGTAAACAGAGGTGTGAGACAAAGGAATAGTAATAACGAAGAACAAAACAGTTTAATTGGAAATCATAAGTCACAAGGAGTGGATGCATCTGCACCAGCCACTGAGAACGATTTTGAGCAGCCATGTCACCAATTGTTTCCAACCATTGGTTTTTACCGTCCCGAGGACCCCAACCAGTCAGGAAGTCTACACCTTCCTACGTGGCTTAAACTAACTGTTGTAGATTTGATTGACTAATGAAGCCATGTTTTGGTTTGACCACCGCTGGCTCTTTCCCAGGTTGATCCATCCTATGTCAGCTAACATTTCCCGTTGTTGAGGAAGGCGATGACTAGGCATATGTAACACATGTCCTAACCATCTCAGTCGATGTAATTTCACAGCCTCATCGATTGATTTCCTCTCCTTACCTCCTAGAACTCAACCAAAGCCTAACCTCAATATTGCTCACCTTGTTATACCACTTCAGACGGGAGATAGAACGCACAGACACCTATGATTGAAGACAGCTAATCTTTTCATATCTTCCACTCTCAATGGCCAGGTCTCACAGCCATAAAGGAGGACGGAGCAGACTGCTGAGCAGTACACACGCTCTTTGGTCAACAGCCAGCCGGATATCACGTCTACGCCAGAGACGGTGTAAACTGGTATATGCGAAACTAGCCCTCTGTATTAGTGCTGAGATTTCGTCAGAGATCAACCCATTGGGGCTGATGGTACTTAATAAGCGACACACATGCACACACACACACAATGAAGAACAAAACTTCCCTAATACAGAATGGATAATATTGTTTGTAAATAATAAAATCAATTCATGATTTATTAATTTGATTGGTTGGAGGGCTTCATCATGGGTTGACATCAGTTAGAGAACCATTGGCAAACCTGCAGGGAGTACTGGACAGCAAACTGTTTCGTCAGGCTAGTTTGGGACTCTTCATCAGTACGTATCCACTGGGTTTCGAACCAAGGACCTTCTATTTACAAGCCACTGGCACCGGATTCAATGGCCAGTCCATGAATTCTAACTTCTACCAATTCGCTATTTTAGAGCAACTAGCACCAACCGATGTCATCGGTGGGAACTGCATCCTCACTGCTCTCACGACTACTCACTAGAACTCCAGGTAACTTCGTCCTCAGGTTAAATCATGGATTGGTATCAGTTAGAGAACCATTGAAAACCAGTATTGGAGTATAGTCTTAGTTTGGGACTCATCGACAGTATGCACCCACTGGGATGAAACAGCTGTCGGGCAGTACTCCAGTGCTAGTTTTCAATGATTCTCTAAATGATCAATTAATCCGTGGTCTAACCTGGCGAGTATTCTACCACTAGAACCACCGACACACAAGGTGTCCAAGGTATTTCGTTTGAACTCAATTACAACACGGCAAAGATCTTTTGTGTACAAGACTTAGAGCCACACACTTATCGTCGTTTGAGGATTGTTGACAATATCCACTTGCCACCATGACTCAAATATGTGAGGAGGAACTCAAAACCATGACCCACTAGCTGAAAGTCTAGTGCACTGAAGCCAATTGAGCTACATCTTCACTCTCCTTATCCAGGGAGATGAAGACTAATTATACCGTTTGTTTGGCTCGGCTCAGAGAGTTGAACCAGTTCAAGCCACCGATGACAGTTCATGATTAAAAATCCTATAACCAATCAAACAAATCCCTACAAAATCAATACTTGAATATCAATCTTATGCTCACTAGCGGCTACTGGCCCTATTCAGGTAGGTAGTTACCTGGATTCTCCTGAGAATGCATGACCAGCCAGTGGAGTACAGCAGGTGGTCAGGTGTGAGGACAAATACTCGTCAACGATGACATTGGCTAGTGGTCGAGCTATGTCATGAATTGGCAGAAGTTAGAATTCATGGACTGACTGACCATTGGGTCTCGGGTCTCAGTGGCTGAATGGTATACAAGCCAGCTAGCCTTTGTGACCAGAATTCCATGGGTTCGAACTGCGGCAGTGGGTGCGTACTGATGAAGAGTTAGTCCCAAACTAGGCCGTCGAAATAGCCAGTACTGTCCAGTATATCCAGTACTGGTTTTCCAATGATCCTCTAATTGGATTTCACCTCATGATAAAATCCCTGCAAAGCAAACCTTTGAACAACAATAATATAATAATGTTTAATGATAGATAGTCATTCCTTTTGTTGTTTTTGTTATTGTTGTTATTGTTGAAAGAGATTGTTTACTGTCAAAGAACACTGATTATTGTTGTTGACAGTTCACCTGACAGTGGTTACTACTTATATGTGTGTATGTGTGGATGTGTGTGACATACTGCGGGCTTGGTTGTTGTGGTGATGATGTTGCATTAGATTTCTCTCTTAACCAGCGTTTATTTTACCACATTTCAATCTGACAGTAATCAAATAATAATCAAATTGGTATTATGTACACAGTTAGCGGGATACATACAGAGATACAATACACACATACACACACACAACTACATACCTAATTGACATTTATGTAAATGCTAAGGCGGGGGTGGGTGGGGGGTGGAAATACCGTGATTTATGTTAGTATTAGTTATATATTGGTATTTAGTGTATTATATATACATATATATAGGTAGATATACATTAAAGTTTGTCAATGAATTCACCCTAGCGTGTGTGTGTGTGTTCGTGTGCGTGCGTGCGTGCGTATGTGCGTGGGTGTGCGTTATCACGGATATTATTATATCCTGATGAATAAAAGTGTTTTTTTCTCAATTGTGTGGTGTTATATATCAGATAAAATGACAATAAACACTTGTCCAGTGTTGTTCATTCTTTTCTCCTCTCTAGTTTTTTATTATAATAAAAAAGAAATGAAAAAAAAACAATTTTATGACATATTTTTTCCTGTTCAAACGACGATATATATATATATTGTATACTTTACTGCATTTATTTATCTTTGTCACTTATCGCCTGATAAACGCAGTGTGTGCATGGGAAATAAATCCAAAAATTGGAACATATTGAATGTGATGAATGTATTGTGTTTATACTTGAAAATTGATCTGTGATGCTCACTAGCGGTGACTGGCCCTATTCAGGGAGGGGTTCTAGTTGGAAGTCGTGACCAGTAGGGGTACAGAAGGTTGAAGGTGAGGACAGTTACTCATCATCGAAGAGGACATTGCGGA